AATCGTCATGTATATTGATAACAGTAGGGAAAAATTGTTATAAATACATTTTATTAATAACAGTTATGAGATCATAATTGTGAATGTATATATGAAATTGATAAAATAAAATAAAATAAATAAAAAAATCTATTCCCCCAACCAAGTGCTTTGCCGAATGTTGGGATTTTCAACTCCCAAACATTCCCAGAAAGCATGGCTAATGGTTCTGTTTTATGCTAATGTCCAGCATTGACTTAAGGAACCTCACGGGCAACCAAGGTGTGACACACACACACCAACTTTCTGCAGAAATTGGGTGATTCTCCTCTGCTAGCAAGCGAATGAATGAAGTTATCGGACCGTAATAAATCGTGCCCATGTAGCTCTTTATCATGGCAGCAAAGGAGGGATACCATCAATCAATCAATTGCATAAAGACATTAAAAAGAAAACCAACGACAGAAAACCATGTGTCATGGCCCCAATCGGACCCTAGTTCGGAGGAGGCAAGCCCGGAGAAGGGTTGCAAGGCTACTCGTCCCATCCCTCCTCCTAAGGAACACCAGATATGGAGTGACGTAAAGAGAAGCTTTGTGGTTTTAGATAGTCTCCTCCAGGGACAATTGTTTGGCTTTGGCTTTGTGCCTATTGCCGTTTGCCTTTGCCTTGAAGGCTGCTTTTCGCCTCTTGTTTTGTCTAGCTGTGAGGACTTGTCTTCTGCCATGGACTTTTGCCTCGCCCTGTGGAATGTGGTTTGCCCTTTGCTTCACTCTGCTTTCAAAACTGCCTTTCACTTTGCTATTCTGCTCTGAGCACTTCCATTTGCCTTGTGCCTGAACTTTACCTTGTGGACTAGAGTTTGCCTTCTGGACTCACTTAACCGGACTGAAGTTTTGACACCCTGGACCTGTGAGGATGCTCCTACCTTGTGGGCTGTCTTTGGAACATAGGGGCTGCTGTTTAGCGGACTGACGGTGGCTGCCTTCGGGGTAGCATGGGGTGGAGCCTTACCGAGAGTTGGCGGGCCGTTTGTTCAAAACATTTATTGAGAGCAATAAAGGACGCTCTAGAGCAGGGGTGTCAAACTCAAAACCCGTCAGCCGGACGCTTAGATATGGTCCATTGGACTGACCTGGAAACAGCGAAGGACCGTCCTGCGGTGCCTCTGCCAGCGAGAAGAGAGGGCTGCAAATGGGCCCTCCCAAGATAAATTTTCGCCGGCAGAGGGTTGCAGGAGGCTGTCACAGCCGAAAACGGAGCTCGGGAGGGCTGTACGCGGCCCTTGCAAGCTCCATTTTCGCTGGCAGAGGGTTGCAGGAAGCGGTTGCGGCTTCGAAGCTCAGGAGCCAATTTTTGCTGGCAGAGCACTAGGCATCCCCGGCACCGAACTGGCCATGCCCACCCCCTCCCCAGCCCCTCCTCTGAGGTCAAACACAACCCTGATGCTCCCTTCAATGAAATTTGAGTTTGACACTCCTGCTCTAGAGGTCTGCCTTGCCTTGGCCATTTGGGTCACAAGACCATGTGCTTGGTTTCTCTGGTCAATCCACTGACCTATGCTAAGATGCCACTCCTTCCTTCCGTCTCCCATTAGCTTCTACAAAAGGGTTACTCTCTCTACAAGTCAGGCACTGCTAACCTCAGAGGTTCTCCTCCCAGGCAGACCAGATGGGAAATGCAACCAACGAACTAATTCTATTCTACCACATTAACCGAATATTGCAAGCCTGAGAGTACAATTCTCCCACCGTTACTTTTACACTCTATAACAGTGTTTCTCAACCTTGGCAACTTGAAGATGTCCGGACTTCAACTCCCAGAATTCCCCAGCCAGCAAATGCTGGCTGGGGAATTCTAGGAGTTGAAGTCTGGACATCTTCAAGTTGCCATGGTTGAGAAACACTGCTCTATAATATGAAAGCATTCCTCCGGAGTCTCTTGCCCCACCCACTATCCCACCTGTCAGCTGCCTCTTACCTGGCTATCCTTTAGGCAGCTTGTCAATTCCAAAGGCAATCCCATTAAAGATACCAATTCTTCGCTACAGCCCTCTTGGCAAATTTCCTCACAACATCTGCCAACTTGTTTGCTGACCAAACTCTGGACACCAATTTAGCAAATACTCTATTCTCAGAATATTAATGATATCGATGACATACCTTTCCCACTTTGGCTTCACATTCTGGATCCACTGGGGCTATTCCCTTCATTTTAAGAGACTTCACTGCCTCTGTAGGTGGAAAATAATAATAATAAAATACCCACTTTGCATCGAACAGAGGTGGAATTTGGCTACAAGCAGCTTAGGCTGACGCCCTACAATCTCAGCATTTAAAAGCAACATGTCCTTGCTCCTTAGAATCCTAGTGTCTCTGGGCTTAAAACAAAATACACTTAATTAAAAGGGGTTACTTCAGCAACTCTAACTTCTTACAGGGGAGGAATGATGGGTCAGAGATTAAAGACCCTGAACTTGTCTGCTGGAAAGCTGACAGCCTAGGTTTGAGACCTGATTACCTCCACTAGACCGATACGATCGCATCGATTAGGCCTCCTCCGAATTCCATCTACTAGCCAGTGCAAACTGGCAACTACCCGGAGGAGAGCCTTCTCGGTGGCTGCTCCGACCCTCTGGAACGAACTCCCTGTGGAGATTCAGACCCTCACCACCCTCCAATCCTTCCGCGCCGCTTTTAAGATCTGGCTGTCCTGGGGTTAAGATTCCAACCGCACCCGAATTGTGTGACTGTTGTGCTCTCTTTTAATATGTTGTATTGTTTCCATATTGGAATACTGTTTGTCTTCCCCCCCCCCTCCCTTTTTGAACTGTGAGCCGCCCTGAGTCCCCCCAGGGAAAAGGGCGGCATACAAATAAAGGAAATGAAATGAAATGAGCACCATGTGATGGGGAGAGTTCCCATTACTGGCTGCAGCTCCTGCCAACCTAGCAGTTCGGAAACATGCAAATGTGAGTAGATGAATAGGTACCACTTTGGTGAGAAGGTTAACAGCATTCTATGCGCTTCAGAATGCAGTCATGCTGGCCGCATGACTTTGGAAGAGTCTTTGGACAACAATGGCTCCCCCAGCTAAGAAACAAAGGATGAGCACTTCCCCCTTGAGTTCGACATGACTGGACAGGGGGAACCTTTAACTTTTAACTTCTTATGAGAGACCCCCCCAAAAAATTATTTTCTCGGCACTTACCCATCAATTCTTCTTTCCCCAGAGATGTACTGGCTTCTGGTTCAGCCTGGGGCGTCTGAGCAAGAACCGATGTACTGGCATCCAAGTCACCGCTATCCAGCTGGGACTCTTCCTCTGCCGCTGTTGCATTTGAGTGAGGAAAAAGAAGGGAATGGCAGGATGGGACATGGGATGTCAGTGGTTGTTGTTGGCAGTGGTCTATGAAGCTAGATAACAGTGAGGCAGAGGAACAACCTGGGAGCCTGTTCCCAATGTACGCATGTGCAGAGCTGCCAGCAGAACAGCTCGGAAATCACGGTCGACTTGGGAGTAAAGTCACAGGTGGAAAGTGATTGGCCCGTCGCACAGGAAATAAAAGAGGAGTTAAAGGGGAGGGGGCTTTTGCAGGAAACAATGTTCTTGTTCGGTCGTTAGATTCATTTCAGGAGTGTGAAAATCTATCCGTGAACTTCACAGACTCCGTGCCCAATCTTTCCTTGCACAGCACCTCATTTAAGAAATATTTACATGGCAGCTTTCCAAGCTAGATAAGGTCTGTACCCATAAATATTCCTTTGAAAGACTGTTTGCCAGGCCTTGCTAAATGTGAGGAATTTCCATTCGTTTAATAAAAGGGGTTTTGTCGGAACTAGGACTCTGCCTCGTGCTTTTTGGGGAAGCCTAGGTCAGAACAGTTGTTTCCATTCCTATGGGGGAGGAATGATGGATCGGAGATTAAAGACCCCAAGCTTGTCAGCTGGAAAGCTGACAGGCACGTATTTGAGACCCGAGCACTACGCGAAGGGAAGAGTTCCCATTACTGGCTGCAGCTTCTGCCAACCTAGCAGTTCGAAAGCATGCAAATGCGAATAGACTAATAGGTACCACTTTGGTGGGAAGGTAACAGCATTCTGCGCCCTTTGGCGTATAGTCACGCTGGCCACATGACCACGGAAGCCTCTTTGGACAACACTGGATCCCTCGGCTAAGAAACAGAGATGTGCACCACTCCCTCAAGTCCAACATGATTGGAGAGGGAGAACCTTTAACTGTGAACTTATGAGATTCCTACTTGCAGTTCGGCTGTTCAAATCTCACCGGCTCAAGGTTGACTCAACCTTCCATCCTTCCAAGGTGGGTAAAATGAGTACCCGGATTGTTGGGGGCAATATGCTGACTCTGTAAACTGCTTAGAGAGGGCTGAAAGCACTATGAAGCGGTATATAAGTCGAACTGCTATTGCTATTTCCTATTACCAACCTCCCCACCACGCATCTATTTCCAAAGGATCAGACTGTTCTTTCCACCACACCATCATGCAATGACTCCAAAATTATTTTCTCGGCACTTACCATCTCCTCTCCCCTGAGATGTACTGGCCTCTGGTTCAGCCTGGGGCTCCTCAGCAGGAACCGATGCACTGGCATCCAAGTCACCGCTAGCCAGCTGGGACCCTTCCTCTGCCGCTGTTGCATTTGAGTGAGGAAAAGAAAGGGAAAGGCAGGATGGAACATGGGATTGTCAGTTGTTGTTGTTGTGGACCGCCAGCAGCAAAGCTGGCAGCAGAGTCAGACAGTGAGGAGCCTGGAGAGGAGCATGGGCCCAGTCCTGGAGCTTGGGGAAGGCAGGAAACAATTTGTTTGTTCGGTCGTTAAGATTTGTTTCAGGAGTGTGAAAAATCTGTCTGTGAACTTCAGAGGCTCTGTGCCCAGTCTTTCCTTGCACACCACCTCATTTGAAAAATATCTACATGGCAGCTTTCCAAGATAGATAAGGTCTGTAGTCATAAATATTCCTTTGAAAGACTGTTTGACAGGCCTTTGCTGAATGTGAATGTGAGGAATTCCCATTCGTTTAATAAAAGGGGTTTTCTCGGAACTAGGACTCTGCCTCATGCATTTTGGGGCTGTTCTTTCCACCACACCATCATGCAATGACCCCAAAATTATTTTCTTGGCACTTACCCATCTTCTCTCCTTCGGTCAGAGATGTACTGGCCTCTGGTTCAGCCTGGGGCTTCTCAGCAGGAACCGATGTACTGGCATCCAAGTCACCGCTAGCCAGCTGGGACCCTTCCTCTGCCGCTGAAGCTTCTGAGGGAGGAAAAGAAAGGGAAAGGCAGGATGGGACATGGGATCTCAGTTGTTGTGGCCCGCCAGTGGCCATCAGAGCTGGCAACAAAATCGGACAGTGAGGAGGTTGGGGAGGAGCATAGGCCCAGCCCTGGGGAAGGCTCGGACGAGGGCTCTCCATCGGAGGCAGAGACGGGGCCGAGGCCGTCTGGCAGTGATCAGGTGCCTAGACAGCAGTGAGGCAGAGGAACAACCTGGGAGCCTGTTCCCAGTGTGCGCATGCGCAGAGCTGCCAGAAGAAAAGAACGACTCAGAAATCAGGGTAGGCTTGGGAGTAAAGTCACAGGTGGGAGGTGATTGGCCCCTCCCATAGGAAATAAAAGAGGAGCGAAAGGGGAGGGGGCTTTTGCAGGAAACAATTTGTTTGGTTCGTTTCAGGAGTGTGAAAATCTGTCTGTGAATCTCAGAGATTCTGTGCCCAACCTTTCCTTGCACACCACCTCATTTGGAAAATATTTACATGGCAGCTTCCCAAGCTAGGTAAGATCTGTGGTCATAAATATTCCTTTTGAAATACTGTTTGCCAAGCCTTGCTGAATGTGAATGCGATGAATTCCCATTCGTTTAATAAAAGCGGTTTCCTCGGGCACAGGAATCTGCTTCGTAATTTTTGGGGAAGCCTAGGTCCAAAGTGTTATTTCCATTCCTATGTAAGGACAGAGGTGAAGGGGCTCCGGGGCCAAATCTATGTGCTCTGATTTCCACTTACAAGGAGGGACAGAGCCCAGACGGAATTCCATAGTTCAATTCCCAGCATAAGAATAAATTTCTTATGGGACTTTCTGACAAGCAAAGCCCATGGGAAACCAGATTCCTTATAACAAGCTTGTTACTAGCTAAACGACTGCACTGATTCACGTATCAACTGCGGCAAGAAAGGTTGTAAAAATGGGGGGAAACTTCACTTAACAAGTGTCTCGCTCAGCAACACAGATTTTATGAGATTCCTAACTGCAGTTCCTATTACAAATCTCCCCACCACACATCTATTTCCGAAGGATCAGACTGTTCTTTCCACCACACCGTCATGCACTGACCCCAAAATTATTTTCTCGGCACTTACCCATCTTCTCTCCTTTAGCCTGGGATGTACTGTCCTCTGGTTCAGTCGGGGGCTTCTCGGCAGGAACCGAGGTACTGGCATCCAAGTCACCGCTAGCCAGCTGGGACCCTTCCTCTGCCGCTGTTGCATTTGAGTGAGGAAAAAGAAGGGAAAGGTAAGATGGGACATGGGATGTTAGTTGTTGTTATTGTGGCCCGCCAGCGGCCACCAGAGCTGGCAACAGAGTCAGACAGTGAGGAGGTTGGGAGGAACATGGGCCAATCCTGGAGGTTGGGGAAGACTTGGAGGGCTGTGCATCGGAGGCAGAGATGGGGCCGAGGCCATCTGGCAGTGATCTACAAAGCTAGATAAAAGTGAGGCAGAGGAACAGCTGGAGCCTGTTCCCAGTGTGCGCATGTGCAGAGCAGCGAAAAGAACAGCTCGGAAATCACAGTCGACTTGGGAGTAAAGTCACAGGTGGAAAGTGATTGGCCCCTCGCATAGGAAATAAAAGAGGAATGAAAGGGGAGGGGGCTTTTGCAGGAAACAATTCGTTTGTTCGGTCGCTAGATTTGTTTCAGGAGTGTGAAAAATCTGTATGTGAATCTCAAGAGGTTCTGTGCCCAGCCTTTCCTTGCACACCACCTCATTTGGAAAATATCTACATGGCAGCTTTCCAAGCTAGATAAGGTCTGTGGTCATAAATATTCCTTTTGAATTCCCATTCGTTTAATAAAAGAGGTTTCCTCGGGACCAGGAATCTGCTTCGTAATTTTTGGGGAAGCCTAGATCCGAACAGTTGTTTCCATTCCTATGTAAGGACAGAGGTGAAGGGGCTCCGGGGCCAAATCTATGTGCTCTGATTTCCACTTGTAAGGAGTGACAGAGCCCAGACAGAATTCCATAGTTCAATTCCAAGCATAGGAATACATTTCTTATGGGATTTTCTGACAAGCAAAGCCCATGGGAAACCACTTACCCTTCTCATCTCCTTTCCCCTGAGATGTACTGGCCTCTGGTTCAGTCTGGGCCTTCTTAGCAGGACGTACCGATGTACTGGCATCCAAGTCCCCGCTATCCAGCTGGGATCCATCATCTGGCTTTGATGCAACTGAGTGAGGAAAAGAAAGGGAGAGGCAGGATGGGACATGGGATGTCTGTTGTTGTTGTTGTGCCCACCAGAGCTGGCAGCAGAGTTTGACAGTGAGGAGGTTGGGAGGAACATGGGCCAATCCTGGAGGCCGGGGAAGGCTCTGCATTGAAGGCAGAGAGGGGGCCAAGATCATCTGGAAGTGATCAGGTGCCTACGGAGCTAGACAGCAATGAGGCAGAGGAACAACCGGAGCGTGTTCCCAGTGTGCACATGCGCAGAGCTGCCAGAAGAATGACTCAGAAATCAAGGTCAACTTGGGAGTAAAGTCACAGGTGGAAAGTGACTGGCCCCTCACAGAGGAAATAAAAGAGGAGCAAAAGGGGGACTGGGCTTTTGCAGGAAACAATTCGCTTGTTTGGTTGTTAAAGATTCGTTTCAGGAGTGTGAAAATCTTGTTGGTGAATCTCAGACTCATAGGTGGTGCGCAAGGAAAGACTCTGTGCCCAGTCTTTCCTTGCACATCACCTCATTTGGAAAATATTTACATGGCAGCTTTCCAAGATAGATAAAGTCTATACTCCTTTGAAAATGAAGCCCAGGAGAATCTGGATTCACCTAACAAGCATGTTGCTGGCTGAACAATGGCATCGATTCACTTAACGAGTGTGGCAAGGAAGATCGTAAAATTGTGGGGGGGAGAGGGGGGGGGAAGGAGAGAAACCTCACTTAACAAATGTCTTGCTCAGCAACATAAATTTTGGGCAACATTGTAGTCATAGGCTGAGGACCACTTGGACTCAGATACCTGCTTCCTTGCATTCTATCGGACGTTCAAACTTGGTCTGCTCGTTTCTCTGCAGCATGCGGGTCGTGTCCAGCTTGTAGCACACCTGACCGAATGTCAAATCCACGGTGGGGTCCCGGTCACCATTCTTGGCTGCCTGTAAATCCAAGCAGGTAGCAGCGGGGTATGGAATCCAGTCGTTTTCCTCATCACCTTCCCACTGCCAGACAACATCTACTCCCACGTAGCCAAAGAGGAGGAAAAGGAGAAAAAAAAAATTGAATTAACATAGGAAGTCAAGGCTAAACAACTCTCAGGAGGCTTTGAAGAGAAATGAGGAATCACTTTTTCTCTTATCCAAATAAAAGTTTATCAGCAAGTGCCCTTCACCAAGTATTTGAATTCTGATTATGTAACTGTGAGAAGGCCACGGCTGCAAGTAAGACTGGACGCATCCCTTTTTTCTAGGTGATCAACTCTGAGAAATCCCCAAATGAATTATAAATCAAGGACAACCTGTATGAGAATTAAAGAGCAGGACCAGTTATGGTGGACACTAGCAATGTTGACCTAAAGAGCAGAATACAAATGCAAAAATAATAATAATACAGGTAGTCCACAATTGGGATAGGGCTTATATTACAAGCATCCTGAAAAAAATCATAAAGGTTCCCCTCGCACATTTGTGCTAGTTGTTCTTGACTCTAGGGGGCAGTGCTCATCTCCGTTTCAAAGCCAAAGAGCCAGCGCTGTCTGAAGACGTTTCCGTGGTCATGTGGCCAGTTAAATACCGAAGGTGCCCGGAACACTGTTACCTTCCCACCAAAGTGGTCCCCATTTTTCTACTTGCATTTCCACATTGTTTCGCACTGTTAGGTTGGTAGAAGCTGGGACAAGTAACGGGAGCTCGCTTCGTTACGCGGCGCTAGGGATTCGAACCACCAAACTTTCTTATCGACAAGCTCAGCACCTTAGCCACTGAGCCACTATGTCCCTTTGGGGGGGGGGGGAATCATTCTAGGTCTTATTTTCAGGGAAGCATGGTACAATGGTCGTGTGAAAAATGGTCTGTGAAAAATGGTCACATGACCACTGGGGGTGTGTGACTGTGGGAACTTCGAATTCAGTCATAAGTAGCCTTGGGGAGGGCTGCTGTAACTTCAAATGAACTGCTTTTAAATTGAGGACTACCTATATAATTAGAAATAGCGACTTACAGGCTTTCTGATCCCAGATAGCCATACGGACACGGTTCTCTTGGCCGCTCTGCTTGTTCTTCTGGACCATCTTACAGAGGTCCACTTGGTCATCTCCTAAGTTTTCTTCCTTTTTTCTTGCCCTGCAGGGAAACACAAGAGTTGGCATTTCAACCTCTCCAACCAATTCCAGGCCATTGCGTTGTTGTTGGAGAAATTTCCTGAAAGTTAGAACAATTAATCAGTGGAACAACTTGCCTCCAGAAGTTGTGAATGTTCCAACACGGGGAGTTTTTAAGATGCTGGATAAACATTTGTCTGAAGTAGTGTAGGGGTTTCCTGCCTAAGCAGGGGGTTGGACTAGAAGGCCTCCAAGGTCCCTTCCAACTCTCTTATTCTATGTGTGTGTTTTATATGATTCTGTGTGTGTTTTCTATGTGGTGTTTTTCTCCTCCTCCTGGAAGCCAACTTACCGAACTGCTTGGCTCAGGACCTCATTTTGCTCAGGTGGGAACATCTGCCATTGATTCGAACTGATTTCGCGTTCCCAGCGCAGGTAAGGATGTATCTCTGCATCCTTAGGCTGGGCTTTTGGAGTTGTTCGCTTCCTTTTCATCCCTGTGGGAGCAACACAACACAAAGTGAATGTCTTAAAAACCATGCTATCTTTAAAGAACCACAAGACTGTTATCTTTATTGTGTCTTTCTCTGCCGGTTGTAAGAAGCATTTTTTTTAAGCTGTAGGGCAAATGGTTTGCAGATTTGAATCAGGTGAGTATCATTTAATTATACGTTTTAGGCACTTACAAATTGTTTTGTAATTACTGGGCTTGCGTTCTGGATCGTGAGAGAGCGGGCTTTGAAACATTTCAGGTTTTTGCAGCAAATGCAACATCTTATAAGCCTCATATGTGCGAGGGGAACTTTTACCTTTATTCCAATGGGGGGGGGGCAGCTATAGCAATGATGCAAAAATAAGTTGTATGGTATTTACAAAACCAGTGTCTTTATTATGGGGGCTTGAAGACTGAACAAGCCTATGTGATTTGTGTATTACAATGCACCCTTTTGCTATTTTTTTTTCCATAATAAAGACACTGGTTTTGTAAATACCATACAACTTATTTTTGCATCACTACCATTGCTATAACCGCCCTTCCCCATTGGAATAAAGGTAAATGTTCCCCTCGCACATAGGTGCTAGTTGTTCCTGACTCTAGGGAGCAGTAATCATCTCCATTTGCCACCAGTCAGAACTGTAGAAGCTTCCTGAATAAGAAGTAAAATGTTTTCAAAGAGGGGGGGGGGGAAACCCCAAGAGGGTTTTGCCATGTTTTGGGCCTGGTAGATCTCTTTGCAGCTTCCTGGGAGGAAAAAACAGGCCAACGAGAGGCACACATACATGTGCAGTGGAGCTGAGCTAGGGCGACAGCTCCTGTGCCCGCAGAAGAGATGGTACGCATGCCATATAAGGTTCACCATCACAGACCTAGATGATTGAGAATCTCCATAGGCAACCCATTCCTGAAAGTTACCACTAACCCCAAAACAGTTTGCCAGCCAGTTCTATTAGTACTGTACCCTTTTATTATGGCTTCTAAGTGACCTTTAGCAATATTTAGCCATGGCTGGCCTGTTGCATGGGAGATACAGGTAAGCCTCAACTTGCAACAGTTCGTTTAATTATGGTTTGGAGTTAAAATGGCCCTGAAGACTGTTTTTCACACCTGCAAGCATCGCAGTGTCCTTGCAATCATGGCCTCAAAATCCAGATGTTTGACCACGGGTTCGTAATTACATAATTGCAGCGCCTCAGGGTCAATACTCCCTTTCGCGGACCTTCCGACAAGCAAGGTCAACGGGGAACCAAGATTCACTTAATAACCCTGTGGTTAACTTAATTGCACGGTTCACTTAACTTCCATAAAGTGGGGCAAAAAATAATATTAAATCTCTTAACCCATGCCTCACTCCGCAACAGAAAAAAAAAATTCGCCTCAATGGTGGTTTTCGGTCGAAGGCTACCCCGCGCGCTGGACACTCTGCACACGCTCAGATATTCCCAGACCTCAATGAGAACAACAAGTAGACACTCCCCATCAATCAGGTTAAGCCTACGTTCGTATTTGCGCTCGGCAGGAGCGTCGGCTCCGTTCCCCCATCCGGATTAAATTTTGCAAAATTTATTTTTAAAATTTTAAAGAGAAGAAGACGACGACGTTGACTTGTAGTAGCGGAGAAGGAAGATGAAGGGGAAAGGAGGAGGAAAGAGGAAAAAGAAATTAAGTAGCGGTAGCCGTAGCAGGTAGTAGTAGTAGTGGAGGAGGAAGAGGAGGAGGAGGAGAAAAGAAGAAAAGATTAGTAGAAGTAGAAAAAAGTAATAGTAATAGTAGCAACAGCAGTAGTAGAATAGTAGTAATGGGGAAAAAAAAGCCGGCTTGCTTGAAACCACGCAGTCCACGGGAAACATTCTAGCAGCAGCAGCAGCAGTAGTAGAATAGTAGTAGTGGAAGAAAAAGAAAAAGCCGGCTTGCTTGAAACCACTCAGTCCACGGGAAACATTCTTGGGGACCGCCTAAGCGTACATTTTCCCTTCCACCCCCCCCCCTTTTCTTTGCTTCACTCTTGGCACCCCTATTCCCGAACCCCCCAACAAGCCACCAAAACGTAGCCTTCCCGGACCCCGTCCATTTCTTAAGGTTTATTTTACTGCAAGCAAGAGTTTTTGCAATTTCGGCCCGCTTTTTTCGCCTCCCCAGGACGCTAATTCAAAACTCGCTTTCCCGCGCCGTGCGAACGCGTCTTCTCCCTGTTGGTTTCTTGCCACCAACCCGCAACTCACCTGCACGTTCCGTTCTCACCGCTCGAGATGACGCTTCCAGCTTCCACTCGCAAGCTCCTTCCCGGGAAAGTTCTAGGACCCGCGAAGACTCCGCCCCTTTTATAGATTTGCATCCGTCAAATTTGCAACAGAGGAGGAGGAGCGGAGAGCGTTTCTCGGCCGTCCATTGGCCGAAACCGGCTCGGAGGGAAGAAGAGAGATTAAAAAAAAAGAGAGAGAGAGAAGGACGATTTGCGTATGTGAAGAAGTGCATGATGGTCGCCGCTCGAATTGGAAATAGCAGTTCTCCAGCCCGTTTTGTCCCGAGACGCGCGTTTTACAATTTGTAAAGCATTGTATATTTTAGTGGAAGGACCTAATTTTCTCGTGTTTGGAACTGGTACGAAGACAACGGGCACGAATCAATAGCCACCCTAACTTATCTGAAAATTAAGAATTAGCCTTTATATAAGGTATGTAGTTAAAGGAATTGATAATTGCTGGGAGGAAGCTCTCCGTAGAGGCCACGTGCTGGGTGTCCATCACCCTCTCTCCCGCCTCTGGGAAGGTCTGAGGGAAGGGCCAAGTTTGCCACCCTAGCAGGGTGCCGCCTTCTGAAGGTGGGTGAGTTCCCAGCAATGCGGATCTCCGATCAAGCCCTAGAATCGAGGCAGGAGATGCGGCGAGGGGTCCTCGGGCTCCTTTCCGCGGATGCCTCAGTGGCTTGTTCGGGATTTGGGAATGACTCACGGCCGGCAGCTTTGAGTACAATGGGAAGAGGTGAAGCACCGCCAGCTTCATAACCCAATTCAGACTAGTCTCCCCCCAGTATTTTAACATTATTTTTGTAAAAACATTATTTTGTCATCCATTCGCTCTGTTTCCCCCATTCTGGAGGGCATCTGCAGAGCGTCATGTTGGAGATGACAATTTAGGAGAAATCTCATCGAGGGTCATCTAGTGCAGCCCGCTACTCAAGCAGGAGACTTTAAAGTTTTTCAGACAAGTGGCTGTTTAGCCTCTTCTTAAAAACCTCCAGTAATGAAATATCCCCAACTTCTGAAGGCCAGCTGTTAATTGTTCTCACTGTTAGGAGGTTTCTCCTTAATTCCACTGTTGCTTCTCTCCTTGATTAGTTTCCATCCATTGTTTCTTGTCTTGCCTTCAGGTGCTTTGGAGACTAGCTTGACCCCTTCATCTTTGGGGCAGCCCCTCAAATTTTGGAAGACTGCTATCGTATCTCCCCTTCTTTTCACTAGAGGAAGCCCAACTGCTTCTCCACTGCTAAAGGAAGACCATGTCATTCATCCATGAAAACTGGCCTTCAGGCTTAGCATTTGCTATCTATGCAATGTTCATAGCCCTACAGGAGGGGTGTCAAACTCGATTTCATTGAGGGCCACATCAGGGTTGTGTCGGAGGTACCTGTGGTAGCCAGCAAAAACCGGCTCCTGAGCTCCGTTTTCAGCTGCAACGGCATCCCGCAACCCTTCGCCAGTGAAAACGGAGCTCTGCGTGGTCACCTGCGGCCCTCCATTTTTGCTGGCAGAGACACCGCAGGCTGGTCCTTTTCCTGTCTCTAGGGCAGCCCCATGGGCCAGATCTAAGCACCCCGTGGGCTGGATCCGGACTCTGGGGCCTTGAGTTTGACACCTCTATCCTACAAAGTTTGGAAGTTTTGGAAGTTTATCGACATTTGTATGCCGCCCACTCCACAGGGACTCTGGGCGGCTTACAGACAAACAAGGGAATATATAAAAATTAAAATAGAAATACAATTATTTAAAATTCCACAACATACATACTACTTAAAGTGGGGCTGGATGCTAATCAACAGCCCCACGCCTGCCGGAACAGCCAGGTCTTAGTGGCTTTACGGAAGGCTGGAAGAGTAGTGAGGGTCCGGATCTCAACGGGGAGATCATTCCATAGGGCCAGGGCAAAACCCCATGGATTTGTATAAATCAACTTTATGATCAGAATGGTGAGGGGTCCTTTTCTAAAACAACAGTATGATGAAAGGGGGGGGGGGACACAGAAAGAACAAAGCACACACCACGGACAGATTTGAAGATTTATTTATGTATGTTTTATATGTGTTTTGCAGATTGTGTTAAAAGTTTCTGAAATAGCAACAGCATTTATATACCGCTTCACAATACTTTTACAGCCCTCTCTAAGCAGGTTACAGAGTCAGCCTATTGCCTCCAACAATCTGGGTCCTCGTTTTACACACACGCACACACACACACACCGCGGAAGGATGGAATCTATTACAAGTAAAGTATTGAATTGATTAGTACAGGAAGGATTTGACAGATTCCCAAGAGTCTCTCTCTGATCCGTATGAAAATATGTTGGATTAATTTCTCACAGCATACTACTACTTCTCTAATTATAAGTACAAAAATATACTACCCATACAGGTTGTGATTATGACGTATGCAAAAAGGGGGCCCCATGGCATGTTACTAGTTCACAAGAGGGTGGCCCTGATATATCCCTGGTCCGCGGTATAATTGGACCACATGGAAAAGCGCTAGTGCATCATAATAACAAAGACATTAAGAAAAGGAAATGATTGAGCCCACCTACATTGGCCCTATTTTCAGGAAGGTCTTATTATTTTTGAGGTGCAGGAGGCGGCAAGCGTGGTCACCTCAGGGCAGCTGCTGTGTTGCAATATTTTCGGGGAGGGCTGATTTTAGCGCATGCGCTCAAAAGCCCGGTCGGGCTTATTACCCGGGGAGGTCTCATTTTCAGGGAAACGGGGTATATAGCAGAGGTGGATTGCTCCCCCTTCAGCCCAGATCGGGGGAAGCAGTAGTAGCGGTGGCGGGAGGCTCCGCCCACCTGCCCGGATGCTTCTGTGCATGAACAGACTGGTAGTAAAAAAAATGGAAACCCGCCACTGCTATATAGTAGTTCTTAACTTAAAACAGTTCATTTGGTGACTGTCCGAAGTTACAACGGCACTGAAAAAAACGGACTTATGACCGTTTTTTTACACAACTGTTGTATCATCCCCGTGGTCATGTGATTACAATGTGAGTATTTGGCAACCGCTCCATATATTTATGATGGTTGCAGTGTCCTGGTGGGGTCACGTGATTGCTTTTGATAACCTTGACCAGCAAAGTCAATGGGGAAGCCAGATTCGCTTAAGGACTGTGGGAAACGTTAGGCTCAATGGGGGTTGTAAATTGAGGAGAAGAGTGCATTTTTATAGAAATGGTCTGTTCAAAAACTCTCTTCCAGTTGTTGCATAGAAGAAAATTGATAGGGATTCCTATTAGATTCTTTCCAAATCTGAGCAATGCCTTAATTTATCAGTATGAGTCCCACCCATGCAGGGTACTCAGATATGGAATGTGTGTGACCATGAATTTTCCTGGTCACGATTTGTGTCATTGAAATAGGAGGTTGGCAGATGCAAAGGGACATATTCGTGGCAGCTGGACCCGGCCAGAGTGGGGGCACACGTCAACTCGTAATAGAACCTAACGTGCCCATACTTGAGGTAGCATATCTGCCAGTTGCTAAGACCTGACCTCAGCCTCCCCTGACAGCGATGCAAGAGGTCGTCGTGCCAGACGTCACTGTCCCAAATCTCCACCACATACTTGTCGTTGCCGTTCAGCGTGACAGCCCCGAAGTTCAGATTCTCTGACCACCGAGGGTTGTTATTGCCACCGATGACCCTCGTGCGCATATCCTGGTCTTGGAAAAGGAATTTGACGTAGGCATCAGTGGAGGAAAAATGGTCACCCCAAAGACCGGACCCACTGTCCACATGGAACTTGAGGTGAGCCCTGCCCCGCTCGGTGCCACAACATTTGTTGTTGATGAGGCCGTTGGGTATACACATGCAGGTGCACTTTTCGACCCAGTTGTTGAAGTTCTTCTGGGGGCAGCTTTGGTGGCAGTCTCTCCTTAGGGCTCTTCTTTTGATGTAGCTCACAGTGGCTTGCTTTAAAAAATTCCTCCTGGGGTCTGTTTTGTTCAACAAGCTGTACAGAGGTAAAAGGGAATAAGACACCAACCCAGGGGTCCTTTCGGTGCTGTCTAGCCATTCGTTGAGATGGTCCAGGTCTCTGCTATCTGAGAAGAGCATCTTCTTGTGGCCTCCTACCACCTCCATGTGCTGGGTCGTGTAAAGCTCGTAGAAGCTGGATTTAGATTTCCCGAACCAGAGCTTGGCACATTCGGAATGGAAGGAAAAAGACCCCCAAAGACCTATACGCTTCAGCTTTGTCTCCAAATCCAAACAGTGTTTGATCTTCTCCGCCGTGAACCCCATCAAGGTCATGCCACAGGTTTTCAAAGCCAGCAAGTAACGAGCTCGCCCACCTAGATACACCAGGCTGATATAATGGGTGCCATAGATATTGATGAAATGCTGGTATTCCTCCGGGTCGTGATGGGGGGGCAACTTGCCGATGGCCTGAACAAAATGGAAGGACAGCAGAGGATTCGTCTGAAGCCCCAAACTGCAAAGGAAAAGAATGGGGGGGGGGGGGAAGCAGGATATTGTCAGCACGACAAGATGGAACTGCTTTGCTTCTTTCAAACCTTAATGCTTTTCAACTTGCCAATGAACCAGGGGAAGAGGGAGGGAAAAGGGGGAAATAGAATGTGGAGAATGTATGCATAGATTATGAAATCATGGAAGCAGGGGGTGGGCCGTTACGGGGTCGCCCGGATTCAGGAGACCCTGCAAATAATGTTATGGCTGGGTTGGAGAACCTCCAAATCCCACCCCTGGCTGGCCCTCATCCCACCCTTCCCACCCCACCAACCCCTCCCTGGAGTTGCCACACAGCCCATTTTGGAGGTGAGGTAAGTGTAGGGCCTGTGCGGAGGCTCGAGGAGTGGGGGAAAGGGGCCTCCTAGAAGTTCTGGAAGGCCGGAAACGGGCTTGTTTCCAGCCTCCGGAAGTTTTTGCCCTCCCAGAGGCGTGAGAGAAGCCTCCGGAGCATGGGGAAGGCGAAAACAGACACACCCCCCCTGCCGTGGTGTAGGAGGCCGACCAGGCCATTCCCACCATGGCCACGCCCACCCATCAACTGGGCAGAGAACCTGTTACTGAAATTTTTGAAGCCTGCATGGAAGCCATCAAGGCCATCACTGCGGGTGCTTGAGAAAGAGATGGACTGTTCCCATAACAAAAGAATGTCTCATAACTATACAAAGTGATCCAACAGGGGAGGGGAGGAAGAAGAAAGTATTGTTTAATTGGGCAAACATTTGGGTGAGAAACCAGAGCAGGTTTTGTTTTTTCAGTACCAACATAGTGTATCCAATAAAGTTTTACTTTTGGGAATTGCAATTCTCTGGAGAGTTTTGTTTTGGGTATGCTAATTGGACAGTTCTGTGTCAAAAGCAACATCCCAAATCACATTTCCTGCCTCAGCATTCAGCATAAGAAAGGAAAGTGATGCAACAACCATGCTGAAGGTCAGATGGTGTCTAATGGTCAGTTAATAGATAGGAGTTCATGTGGCGTGTTTTCTGGTGTCTCTTTCTTCCCCTGGTTAATCTTGAAAAGATTCTCTGGAAATGGGGAAGCCCTTTTTATTTTTTGTGCCCTGACACCAAAGAATACTTTACTGAGAGTGTAACAGTCAATACAAAGTAATCCTTAATTTATAACCATTTGTTTAGTCACCAAAGTTATAACGGCACTAAAAAAAAGTGACTTAACTGCCAGTTTTCACAGTTAACAACTGTTGAAGCGTTCCTGTAGCCGAATGATCAAAATTCAGGCAGTTGGCAAACGGCATGTATTTATGATAATTGCACTGCCCCAGGATCATACGATCAACATGGGTAACCATCCTAACTAGCCTCAGACAAGCCGAGTCAATAGGGGAAGCCAAATTCGCTTAATGACCATGTGATTCACTTAACAGTTGCAGTGACTCATTTAACAATGTCTGCTGCTGAGAAAGCCGTAAAAGGGGGCAAAACTCACTTAATCACTGTCTTGCTTTAACAATGGAAGTTTTGGGGTTATGTAAGCCAAGAAGTACCCCAAATCTGGAGCTGCAATTTATTTTAAAGGTAAACCGTAATAAGTATCTGTTATCACCTACAATAAATATCTGTCATAGGTACCAACCTTATTGCCTGTAATTATGGTGCTTCTCTCCTTAGCTAAATTGTATCTAAATGTTTTACTGTAACCAAGTTCCTGGATATGGGTTTGAAGGTTTCGTCCTGTGGTTTATTGCGGTGTTTGAAGTCTGACATCAGATCAGGAGAGGGCTTCAAAAATTGCAGCAACGGGTTCTCTGCCCCGATGGTGGGTGGGCGTGGCCTAGTCGGCCTCCTGCACCATGATGGGGGGGACACATATTTTTCACCCTCCCCACGCTCCAGAGGATTTTCTGGAGCCTCCGGGAGGGCAAAAACTTCTCCTCCCCTCAAAGGCTAGAAACAGACCCGTTTCCGGACTTCCAGAACTTTCAGTAGGCCCGTTTTTAAACCCTCCCCAGGCTCTGGAGGCTTTTGTCGAGCCTCCAGGAAGGCAAAAAATGGTTACCTAGGGCTCCGGAGACTTTCCGGAGGCCGGAAATAGGCCCATTTCTGGAATTCCGGAACCTCCGGTAGACCATTTCCCCCTCTTCGCCGATCCTCTGCATGAGTTCTGCACTTACCTGGCCTGATGAATGGGCCGTGTGGAGACTCCTGGGAGGGGAGGGGCGGGGCCAGCCAGGGGTGACATTTGGGTGTTCGCCAAACTGGGAAGAATCCTCTCTAGAGGATCACCCGAACCCATCCGAGCTCCCACCATCCCACCCCTGCATTAAATCATACCTATGATTTGGTTTGGTGTCCAAAAGTATATCCTCCTAACCAAAAATGGGGTCTGAAGTGTTTTGGCCCTGGAAGAGGCTGTTTAACCTGGAATACTGTCTCCTCAACTCTTCAAACTGCTTCCAGTTCAGAGGATTTATTTTCAAGAAACCATCTAACTGCCCCCTAAATGGTATGGACCAGAGGGGGCATAGAACATTCTGGAGCTTTATGGAACATTCTATTCCGTTCCTGAATCAGACAGTTTTGTACATCTTTTGTGGTAATAAAAGATCTCACGGAAAAACATAGCCCTGGCTGTAGCCATAACATTCTCATTCTTCAAATTCTTTTATGCTATTTTCGACATTGTAAGCAGCCTGGGGTTGCTGGATAGTGAGATAGGCGAGATATAAATTTAATAAACAAACAACAAAGAAACAAAGAAATAAATACAGGTAATCCTTGATTTGCAACCCCAATTGAGCCCCAAATTTTCAACGCTGAGGAAGAAATGCTATTCAGGGAGCTTTTCCCCTTTCTGTGACCTTTCTTGCCACAGTTATTAAGTGAATCACTGCAGTTGGTAAGTTGGTAACATGATTGTTAAATGAATCTGGTTTCCTCCATGACTTTGCTTGGTCAGAAGCAGGGCCGGATTTAGATGAAAAGAGGCCCTAGGCTATTCCACTTATGAGGCCCTTTCACCTCCCATTTTTAAGTTT